ATAGCACCCACCAAATAGTGATTATGATAGATTACAAAGCTAACATTTTATAAACTTGACAAAGGCAAACACATCCATCCACAGTATCATTTCTAAAACTGAAGCAAAAGTAACACGATGCATCTCAATCTATCTAAAGACCGCAATTCATCTTCAAGCAACAACTTCATATCTTAAGAAAAGGTGATACAAATCTTCGATATAATGAGAGCAAACCGGACAAAGAATAGGAGGAAAATATATCCATTTGCTAATTAACCAATTTCGATCTAGCAGGGAGCCTATTCAGCAAGAGTCTCCAACCATGAATATTTACCTTTCTAAGAACATAAAAATTCCATCTGGTGCAACACCTCCTTCCATGAGAATAAACTCATCAATAGTCGTTTTTGTAGCATGTACCATGGAAGTGTCAAAGTTGTCCAAATCCCAAATCCAGATATCCCTATAAATACCATGATAAAAATCATCAATCAAAAGAAGCCAACCCTCTAACTAAGTTTCTTCTATACCACCTCTAACTTCCAATCTCAAACTCCAAGATCACATTTGATCACCCAATGACCTTTAACAAAACACTCATTATAATCTAACAAAAATAATATAGGCAATTGAATTTTAAATGGAACTCCACCCACCCACACATCCTCCTAAAACCTTGTAAGCTTTCATCTCCAACATGTTTTCTAAGAGTATAACACGGAATTATACCTTTATCGTTAATCATTAATTTGGTTCAAAGAACCAACAATTCTAGACCAAACGTCATTTCCCGAACTCTAGTTTCTCAAAGCCGAAATCCCAAAGCATCACCATGATAAACATTAATGACCTTAACCCAAATAATAATTTTCTTAACACCAACCCCATTTCTATGCATGATCTAAACCTTCTAAGACTGTCAATACCAATATCACCTCTTTAATTTCTTTAGCAACAAGAACTAGGGATGGAAAATTGGACAATCGTTCTGTGTTTTTTCCTAACACGACATGACATAAATTGCTTTTTCTTAATGCGCACACGACACTACATGATAGCATGTTTTTCTTCGTTAACACGAACAGGACTAAATAAAATCACGACAAAAAAAAACAATAAATAACAATTTACATAATGTCATATGTAAATTCTTGTAAAAAATAATTTAAACAAGACAAACACGAGTAACATGATAAAAAGTAAAAACAACATAGAATGCTACTAAACATACACAACTTTTGAACACGACATGGACACGACGTTTCTTGCTATTATCGTGTTGAATTTTGAACAAGACACGACGTCGTGTTTCTTATGCATAACACGAACACGGCATGAACATAAATTCAAATTTTGATTTCGTCCCAATTTAATTTTGTGTCGTGTATTTTAGTTGTGTCATGTCGATTTTTTCCACCCCTATCAAGAACTTAACCAAGTCCCATTTTACCGAGCAATTTTCCGTTATGTTTCTTCTCCAATTAAAAAAATCGAGATCAAGGGCTCTCCAACTATCTCTTCATGGTATTAGGCAGCAAAAAGATGGAAAAAGATACTAAATGTTCGAAGGACATATTTAAGATGCATAGAACGATCACTAATGGAAAGAATTTAAACTTTCCAACTGAACAATTTTTTTCCTCAAATATATTAACAATTTATTCCAACCATGAATTATGGCCATATTCTCACCAACTAGAATTCCAAGGTACAAAAATGGTAATCGTTGAGCCTAGTACCATGTGACCCCCCACAACATGCTCTACCATATCGAAATCCACCCAATCCCAAAAAGATTAGATTTATGGATGTCTAGTCTCAAACTGTAGGCTAAATAAAAGCAACAAAGCACTCCAAACAAGATTTAGAATGTTTTTGCGTGACCTTTCTCCCATTAAAGAACATCGTCTACATAAAAAAAATGAGAGATTGAGGGTTTTATAGGTTATAAATACATGTACAATGCGGAAAAACACTTAACAATTAAGAGGGCACATGTAACCTATAAGGATGTAACATCCAAGATTGATCAGGTTGGTTCCTAACCTTTGGAATTTAAGTTTATGGCATTTTTGGTCCCTGAGATTGGAATCTTGACCTTTTTGAGTACACGGGGCGTAACTCTTATTACGTTGGGCGTAGGGGACTCCGGGTGCGTACGCTACACGTACATCTCATACGTTGGGCGTACGTGGCTCAGACCAAAACCCTAGTGATTAGGGTTTGTGCACTATTTAAACCCCATTATGACCCCAAGACCTTCCCTCACCTCAGCCTTTACGGTCATTTCGGTCCTCTTAGCTAACCCTAGCCATTTTTGAACCACTTGAGCTTTGTAGTGAGATTTTGAGCTTCTTTGGTAGTGAAGAAGGTGGTGCAAGAAGAAAGCTTTGTCCCCAAGACTTCAGATCCAGCATTTGCTACTCATTTGGCACCACATAGAGGTATAAAGCTCAAATCTTTGCTTATGTTTCCTTAACTTCTTGTTTGAGGCTAGATTTCCCTTTTTACCCAAAAAGTTTAGATCTTGGTGAGTATGAGCTACTCCCACGCCTTCTAGTTGCATTTCCAGTTATGTTCTAGTGTCTTAATGCTTAAAGGTGCAAGCTTTGAGGTGGTTTGGTCCCCATTCTTGAGATAAGATGTAGGAAAGGGCTTAAGAGACTTGATCTTCGTCTTTGGACTTCTTGTAGCCATGCAAGGGCTTAAAGTTGACAACTTTATAACCCTAGAGGTCTTAATGGGCCCAGATCTGAGTTCTGGACGTAAAATCTTAATGCATTAAGTCTTTGCATGGATTGTTGTATAACTGGCCATGTACGTCGTGCGTGCTGCCTCTGGCTGAGGTACGCTGCGCGTACCAGTGTGTACGTCGGGCGTACGACTCAGGCATCCTTGTTAAGCGTTGGGCTCAAATCTTTGGGCCTTATATGGGTTTTGGGTTATTGACTTTGGGCTTGGGCATTTGGATTAGTTGGGCCCTAGAATTTATTATTGGACCATTAGTAGCTTAGTTGGGATGTTTGGGCCTTGTGGCCCATAATGGTTGCAGACTTTGGATGATAGGCCCATTAGTGAAGGAATGACCTTTGGGCCATTATGGTGGGACTTGGACTTAGATTTCTGGGCTCTTTAATTAGGTATAATCCTAATTAGGGTATTTGTATATTTGTCCAGTGTGAGATTTTGGCTGGTAGTTGAGCAATGATTGTTTTCAGTAGACTGAGGTGAGTCTTCTCACTATACCAATGAGTCGAAGGCACCAACGCCAACCCATTACTTGATAAGTGATTTCTATAGTTGAAAATGCAATGGTTTGTTATTTGGTATGTATTGATTTATGTGAAGACCATGAGGGGAGCCCATGGCACTTGGTAAGACCATGAGGTGGAGCCCATGACCCTTGGGTATAAGACCATGCGGGTACCCCTTGACATCCCGGTTGAAGACCATGGAGGGGGTCCATGGCATATTAATGTGTATATGTGCATGACATTATCTGGTTATGTGTTTTGTGTATTTTAGGAAACTCACTAAGCGTGTGGTTACAGTTTTGTTGGGTGTTCCAGGTACTTCTGGTTCTAAGGGCAAGGGCCCGACTTGATGGAGCAACGTGCACTCTCCAGTATTTCCGCACTAGTTGTTCAGGCAACAAAGGGAAGGATACGGCTTGATTGCATCGCATCCATGGACATGTTTTAGAGACTTTAGCACTTATGATTTTCACTATATTATTATTACTCTGATTTTGATGATGGTTTGTCAAACTTGAACAAATGGTTACTTATCTATCTTTTGGAAATGAAAATGGTTTGTCAAACTTGAACAAATGGTTACTTATCTATCTTTTGGAATGAAATTAGTATAAATCTCTTATTAAAAATGAAAAAAAAAATGGTTTATATATAATATAATATAGTATGCATAATAGGTCAAAAAAGTGAGTTGGAAAACAAGGTCGGTGAAACAAAAGTTATCCATCTTTGTCAAAAGCATAGATTTGTTTGCCGGTCGGTCTGATTCCATGATTCAACCATCCATCGCTACGCCACCACCTCTCTTCACCTTTTTCTATTTAATTATTTCTTTTATGAAAACAAATTCAACATAAATAAGTTATAGGAAAAAGAAAAGAAAAGGGAATCTTAGGCTAAATGAAAAGCTCTTCCATGAAGCAAAGCACACACTTTAATATATTTTCATCTTTAATAATATAAAAATACAAAATTTGATTCTTTTCTAACTTACCACTCAATATCATATATATGAAAACAAATATTCTTCCTATTATCTTTAAAAAAACACCTAATAATCTTTCTTTTTGTACTATATAAATTATTTGCAACATCTATTCCATTTAATATATATTCCAAAAATATTATATATTTTTTATTCGTTTTGATTATTATCTTTGTTCTTATGAAAAGACATTCTAGATATTTAAGTTATAAATATAATCAAACATTTTTATTAAGTACATATATCAACCAAATGTTACAATTTTAGAAGTGGAGGAAAGTATGAAATTATTGTTAATTGTTACGTGCTTCATAATATAAGATCCCATATTGTATATTTATACATTCTGTATGAAAGAGATAATATTTATACATTGTTAATTCTTACGAAATTTATTAACAGCTAATTCGTAAATTCTGTATGAAAGAGATAATATTTATACATTGTGATTTATTAGTTTTTCCAAATTTTATTTATCAAGCTATTTATCATAATATCATTTTATTGCATGTGAATATTCGGAAAAATTTTAAAAACAAAAAAGATTATTTCCCTCCATTATAATAGCAACAGAGCAAGGACTAAGAAAAGAAAAGCTTATGCTTGCACATGAAGGTAAGCAGCGTCTTTTCTTAACGTCTTTCACACAAGAACTCCACTCACACTCTCTCTCGATCTCCCTAAGAAAAACCCACATCCATTTTCTCTAACTATTTCACCTAAAATGTGATTTTGACCAATCCATCTGCAAAAACGATCTGTTTCTTCGAATTTCATCAATGGCGTCCGTTCGGAAGCTCATTGTAGAAGTAGTTGATGCCCGTAATCTTCACCCAAAAGACGGCCATGGCACGTCAAGTCCTTACGTGATTCTTGATTTCTATGGCCAACGACGGAAGACCCGGGTGGTGGCTAGGGATTTGAACCCGGTTTGGAATGAGGTTTTGGAGTTTAATGTCGGAAAACCATCCGATGTGTTCGGTGATATGCTTGAAGTTGATGTTAATCATGATAAGACTCTTGGTCCGACGACCAGACACAATTTTCTGGGTAGAGTCCGCTTGAATTCACAGCAGTTTGTGAAGAAAGGGGAGGAGGCTTTGATTTATTATCCTTTGGAGAAGAAGCACTTGTTTAGCTGGATTCAAGGCGAAATTGGTTTGAAAATTTACTTTGTTGATGATGTTGCTCCGCCGCCGGCGCCACCATCTCCTCCGCCATCTGAAGAGGTGAAGGCTGAGCCAAAGTCATTGGAAGAAGCTAAGGCGGAAGTTGACGCTGCCCCCAAGGCTGATTCAGAACCACCACCGGCGCCGGAGGTGGCACCTACAGAACCTGCTCCACCGTCGGAAGCTTCCGATCATGATGGTGAAGTTCCAGATGATGATTGTTTTGATCCAGTAGAATCAAGTACTCCAATGAAGCAAGAACGATTTGATCATGATCAATTAAGGACATCAAGATCTATGCCGGAGATCAAAATCGGTGGTGATATTCCAATCGGCCCACAGCCAATCCCTCGGACTTCCTCAGTCAGCAGCTTCACGACAGATGTGTCCGATAGATTTCCAATCGAACGGTCCTCATTTGATCTGGTGGAGAAAATGCACTACCTCTTTGTTAGGGTAGTTAAAGCTCGGGCTTTACCCACCCCAGGCAACCCGGTAACCAAGATAGTTGTTTCCGGTTGCCAAGTTGTCTCAAAACCCGCTCGAAAAACCATGTACTTTGAGTGGGACCAAACATTCGCTTTCCGACGAGATGTGCATGATTCTACATCCATTCTTGAAGTTTCTGTGTGGGACCCGCTGATCTCAAGCTCTATGTCGGATGTTGCAGGGCATAATTTCCTAGGTGGCATATGTTTTGATGCCACAGAGATCCCCTTACGAGACCCACCTGATAGCCCGTTGGCCCCACAATGGTACAGGCTAGAAGGAGGCGGGGCTCATAAAGGGGATCTCATGTTAGCCACATGGGTGGGGACGCAAGCAGATGAGTCATTTCCTGAAGCATGGAAAACTGACACCGCGGGTAACCCTAGCTCTCGATCCAAAATATACCAATCACCGAAGTTATGGTATCTACGTGCGACAATCATCGAGGCTCAAGATGTTCCCCCCACATCATCGTTCCAAATCAAAGCTCAATTAGGGTTTCAAGTTCAAAAAACGAAATCAATCGCCACACGTAACGGAACTTCGTCATGGAATGAAGACTTGATGTTTGTAGCCGCCGAGCCATTCTCCGATCAACCGTTGATGTTGTTTCTAGTTGAACAACGGGGCCCAAAAGAGACAACTGTCGTTGGAGTCGCTAGCCTACCTTTAGCTTCCATAGAGCGTCGTGTAGACGATAGAATTGTGGTATCAAAATGGTTAACATTTGAAGATCCAAACGAAGAAAAAAGAGTTTATCGTGGTCGAATCCAAGTAAAAATATTCTTCGATGGGGGATACCATGTGATGGACGAAGCCGCACACGTTTGTAGCGACTATCGACCCACTGCAAAGCAACTTTGGAAAAGCCCGATTGGCACAATTGAGCTAGGGATTGTCGGATGCAAGAATTTGCTACCAATGAAGTCTATCAATGGCAAAGGGTCCACAGATGCTTATGCCGTGGCAAAATACGGAAACAAATGGGTACGAACACGAGCGATATCTGACAACCTAGATCCAAAATGGAATGAACAATACACATGGAGAGTTTACGACCCATCCACCGTGTTAACAATCGGAGTTTTCGATAGTTGCGAAGAGTTTGGATCCGACGGTCAAAAAGAGCCCACACGTTCGGACTTTCGTATGGGGAAAGTACGTATACGTATATCAACTTTAGAGATGGGGAAGGTGTACAAGAACACGTATTCATTAATGTTATTGAATGCGGTTGGGCTTAAGAAAATGGGAGAGCTAGAGCTGGCAGTGCGATTTGTGCGTATGGCACCAACGCTTGATTTTTTGAATGTATATTCGCAACCCTTGTTGCCAATAATGCACCATATCAAGCCAATCGGGGTGGTACAGCAAGAGATACTTAGAACGGTCGCAGTTAAGATCACTGCGGCTCATTTGGCGCGATCCGAGCCACCCCTTCGTCGTGAAGTGGTGGCCTACATGCTAGATGCAGACACACATGCATTTAGCATGAGGAAGGTTCGCGCCAATTGGCTACGGATAGTCAACGTGCTATCGGGGGTCATTGACATGGTCAAATGGTTCGATGACACTCGGTCATGGAAGAATCCAACGTCTACATTCTTGGTTCATATATTGCTTATGATGCTCGTGTGGTTCCCTGACCTAATCATCCCCACTTTGGCATTTTACGTGTTTGTGATCGGGGTTTGGAATTACAGATTCCGGTCTCGAGCCGCACCACCACACTTTGACCCGAAACTTTCATTAGCAGAAACAATCGATGGTAATGAGCTCGATGAGGAATTCGACATGGTGCCATGTACCAGATCAAATGAAATGGTGCGGTTGAGATATGACAAGCTACGTATGCTAGGAGCACGGGTGCAAACTGTGCTAGGTGACATAGCGACACAAGGTGAACGAGTTCAAGCTTTGGTGACATGGCGGGACCCACGTGCCACGGGGATTTTTGTTGGTATGTGTTTGGTGGTTGCAGTGATTTTGTACCTTGTACCGTCGAAGATGGTGGCAGTGACATTTGCCTTTTATTATATGAGACATCCTATCTTTAGGGATCGGATGCCGTCTCCTGCACTCAACTTTTTCCGAAGACTGCCGTCATTATCGGATCGTATTCTTTAGGTTCGATCGACCGGTATCTGTTTGTGTAAATTAGTGTGACATTGTGTAATGTGTTGACAGAACTTTTATAAGTTCGATAATTATTAATTAGTAGTACTTCCACCTAGTATTGAGCTTGTACCTTATATATTCATATATTCAGTTGAATTAAGAGAATATATAGTAAACATAATGAAGCTAGTGTATTTTTTTATATGTTCGAACAAATATTGATTAATCAAATACGAATATAACCTCGTAAACTCTGTATGTGTTTGAGGTCATCATGCTTATCGTTGTATCCTAATCTTGAAGAGTTGAAAGTCGTTTCTTGGTAGAAATCTATAAAATGATGTTTTTTATAAATTATAAAAATAAAAAAATAATAATAATAATAAATGCTTAAATACATATTTTAAATAAATATTTATTATTTTATACTCATGTTCAGATCATGTGTGAAACGAGTAAAATCAATAAAATTTAGCTAAAAACATATTAAATGGTCGTGAAACGAGTCGAAAGCTGCACATAGTATATTTTTAATGCATACAATCTTCTAATCGTGTTATTAATATTAAAATCCACAGTTCTACACTATTAATCGTGTTATTAATATTAAAATCCACAGCTCTACACTATTATTGTGACAATATAGTTTTTGATTTTCTTTCTGGTGAATGACACAAGAAGGACTTCCTCTTTAACTAATAAAACTCATTCGAAATTTCCAACACAACTCATATTGGATGCTAAATTCATTGAAATGATACCAATGTATGCAAATGGGTAGATCAATGTGTCTTATCCAGACTCCAAAAAACACAGTTGTTTGGAGTCTGGATGCATACAGACCTAAAGAAAAAGACAATGGTATGACAATTACGATTTACACCGAAATCAATTTATTTATTCATGATGAAAAGCATTTATACATTAGAACATGTATGTAATTTATCAGAAAACATTAGAGAAATTAGGTACTTAACTACCAAGTACACAAAGAGCCTTCTATTATGCCACTTCTGCTGTAACTGCATTAACTGATCCATTATTTCCCTCCTTTTCCTTTATGAGCCTCATTATTTCTACTTTTTTCTCTAGTAGGGCTTCAATTTTAGTATTCAACTTCTCTAATTTACTTTTCAGCTTGCTAAGATCCTTGATTTTATATTTTTCTCCCTTATCTTTCTTCTCTTTACCCTTTTTCTCCCCCTTCACTTCTTCACCATTTCCATTTATTTCAATCTCCCTTGATGTAACTTCAGTATCACTGCATGTTTTATCACCCTTCTTATCTTTGTGCTTCTTCTTATCTTTCTTCTTCTTTTCATCATCTTCTTCCACCCCTTCATCTTTACTTTTCTTCTCTTTCTTGTCCTTCTTCTCTTTTTTCATCTTTTTATCCCCTTCTTCTGAGTCTCCTTCATCATCCTTCTTCTTGTCTTCATCATCTTCTTTTACTTCTTTATCTTTATCTTTCTTCTCTTTCTTGTCTTTCTTCTTCTTTCCTTCATCATCACTCTTTCCTTTCTTCGTCTTTTTCTCCCCTTCATGCTCATTATCATCAGATTTGGCATCCTTATCTTTCTTCTTCTTCTCTGTATCTTTTTCCTCTTCCTCTGATACTACATCATCATCTTTCTTCTTTCCCTTCTTCTTGTCTTTCTTCTTCTTTTCTGTCTCTTTTTCCCCTTCCTCTGATACTCCATCATCATCTTTCTTCTTTTCCTTCTTGTCTTTCTTCTTCTTCTTCTCTTTCACATTCTTATCATCCTCATCAGACTCCTTTTTGTCTCCTTTTTTCTTTTCTTTTACCTCCTTTTTCTTATCTTCATCCACATCAGATTTCTTGTCATCTTCCACCTTGCATTTGTCATCATTAACTTCCTTATGTTTTGGCTTCTCTTTCTCAACAGATTTGGTCTTCAAATCCAACTCTTCTGTAATCTTCTCTGCCTTTTCTTCATCTGTTCCTTTTACCTTGTTCTCAGTTTCCAAATGAAGCTCTTCCTTGACAACATGTTCATATGTATCATCCATCTCAATTTTCGGATACATACTCATGTTTAATAATAACCTAAAGTCCAAGCTATCTGCAGACAGAAATGTGGATGCTGTTAAAACCAATACAGAAAAACAGCATATGCAATAGAATAGATATCAGATAAATGTAACTAAAACCATCAAGAAACCAACTTCACCAACAATCTAGTAATGGAATGATCATGACAACCAAATTGAATAGAAGAACAATGAAGATCATAATAAAATTAGAACCCCAGCTCATTGAGCTCTAGCTACAGCTACACTTCAACATTAGGATATGGGTGTTGAACATGTCAATAAATTTTAAGTTTTATCTCTCGAAGTTGTTTTCATATGCTATATTGATAACAAAATGTATAGATAGTATAAGTGGTTTATATGGCATGTAAACTTGTAAATATATCATGAACTATATGGACAATCCGTAATATAATTAGGTTTTTTGAGATCTGTTACTTTATAACTTCAAAAATGTGTAAAGATTTAGACTTTCTGAGAGAATTTCTTAGTTCAAAACTTCATAAGAAAGACTTTCGAATAGAGTAGTGTTTTTGAGAGAATTTCGTTAGTCAAAACTTCTTGTCTTTTGGAAGTTGCAAAAGACACAAACATATCAATTTTGAATTCGAAAAGAACTAGATTTCTAACCGAAACTAACTTGAAGCCCTTTATTTAAAGTGAGGGAGAATTATACGGCAACATGTTATTCCACTCTACACGAGCAAGTAAAGTAACCCACATGACAAGCATATTATCAAACAGTTGGCGATCAATCAAAATTTGGGTGAAAAATACATAAGAAGACCCAAATCAAAGAATCACTGAACAAACAAGTAACAATCAACATCAATAATCAATCAATTAAAGAAAAATAAAAGGAACCCAACTGAAGGATTCTAAAAAGAAGTCGCTTACATAGAAACTTACCAAAAATAATCAGTCGGTTGAGGTTTCCACAGTTTATGTGAAGCTTATCGATGAATTGGAGGGTGTGCGATCAAATCTATTTATAGCCGTTTATGTAAGCAAGAGTTTGATCGTGGTAGATACGGGAAGAACGCGGGTCTTTAATTAGGAACCGTTTTACCGACACTTTAACGCGTATGTAAAGTGGATTTTAATGCATTTGTATATATCGAAAATTATTGCTGAGGAGTGAGGAAAGTATACTTCTTTGTTAAGGAATTCCCTTCTTGTTCGAAAGTCAATTCAGGAGTTGAGTTGTCTTTCATATTCACTTGCGTTAACCGTTATCTTGCTGTTTCTATGAAAATGGGTCAATGAGATGACAGATTAACGTATTACGTCTACTAAACTATTCTTTTTTATATCATTTATTATTGAATTTTCATCAAACTCTTTAAAACTTACAATTATAACCTATGGATAGGGTGTTCAAAACTCGATATTGAAAATTCGGATATCCAATAATTCGGATAGTAGATCTTTTATATCTAAATTCATATCCGAAAATTCAGATATTAAATCGGATATCCGAAATTCGTGATTTGCAAATATGAAAGTTCCTTAAATTGATATGTTGTAGTTACTTTAGCAAAGAAATTAACACCATTGTTAACTTCGTGATAGAACTAATAAACAAAAACTAAAGAAGCATTATGACTTTAGCATTAATTGATCCTCACAGCGGCTTTATAAGTGAATGCTATTTTCTTCGGGCATATTATTGCTGCTAATTTCTAGTGTATTTTGCAAACAAACTAAAAATCACAATAAACTATGCAAATATCATATTAAGAAAAGAAAATTGACTATTCTATAAAAACTTCTTAAGTCTTTATATAAGTCTTTACTTTGGAGATAAATTGAAGTCAGCAATTATCTTTTCAAATAAACGAAAATTAATATCACAATTAACTTTGCATATAATTTTAAAAAAAAAATAGCTTTGCAAACATTCTGATTAAGCGAAAATATCCTTACATCAAAAAATGCAACAATAATATTGAGCACGATTCTTTATGTTGGAACTTGGAAACATCAATATTTTTATCAAGACCATTTAAGAATAACTTACACTTTTGATATACTACTACACTTTGTTTTCTTCCAGTGTTTCTTGGATGCTTGGATGTTGGATGGTTTGGAGCAAATGAGTTTCACACTTATTTATAGGTGTTACCATCTCCTCTAAGGAAGGTTCTAGAATTTTCTACTAACTAGACATATCTACAGCATTCTAGAATCATCTATCATACTCTATATCTATTTATTATCTTCTAGAATGTTCTACCATATCCTAAAAAGGTCTAGGACGCTCTAGTGTCTTGTAGAATATTTCATAACATTCTAGGGTTTTCCACGTCATTCTAGAATATTCTAGAGTCCTTCAGTATATTTTGGAATCTTCCATAATCTTTCATAATGTTTTAGAATCTTCCCGAACATTCTAGAAGAATCTAATTTCTTCTAGATAAATGGTTAATCTCCATTGGGCTAGTGATGACTTTCAACAAATAATTCTTATATGACAATGATCAAGGGAATCGAGGGGGTAAAAGAATGAAATACATAAACCAAGGGCTATTATGATCTATTTGATAAATATATAAATTTCGGATATCGAATATCTGAAATATCCAAAAATGTCTAAATCTGAATCCAAAAAATAGCCAGAAAAGACCGATTTGTTTATGCTTATTCAAAATCAGAGTATCCTTTTTGAGGAATAATATTGCGGAATTTGTTCCCAAAAGCATGATAATGATATTATCGAAGCATTTCCAAAGAAATGTATTTTATTTATATTAAAACGTTGGGATGTCATCGTCAATACAAAAACATAAGCATAACGAAATATTACAAGTCTTACAGTAATTAAACTAGTGGCCTAATACTCCTCAAATCTCTCAGTAGAATGTATCTTTTAAATTGTGACAACCCGAAAATTTTATTCTTGTAAAATTCAATAAAAGTCAAACATATCGTGTAAAGGTCAAACTCATTTTCTT